TCGCATAATATTTGAGTTTGAAGTTTATTAAGACTTTAAGCCATCCTTAAATAATTCAGCACCCTACTTTGTATTCCCAATAAATGATATAGAGGTTATTGTTGGTGAGACGAAAGTTGTTGATTTACCAAAAATAATTGATGATGAAGGAGATAGTTATGTTATAAGACTAGAAACATAAATGGGCAATCTCTTTTTAGATTAAACAAGTACTAGTATAATAATGAAGCCTATTGAAGCTGTAATTGGAGTTCATTAAGTTGAAGTTATTATTGAAGATAATAATGCAAATTAAAGGTATAGTAATTCGAAATTCTAAATTACTGTTAATGCTGATATTTCTTCCTTTTATGAATCACAACTCAAAGGATCAATTTTATTTGATGACTTTTAAAAATCTAAGAAATTTCAAAAAATAGGAAACATAGAAGCAAGAGCTAAAATATCCAGGACAGGAAGGATAACCATTACTTTTGATCAAAATCTTAAAATCCTGAATAACTTCTTGCAAAAACTCTAAAATTCTATTGATATAATTGTAAAATAGAATGAGGATGATGTATAATAGAATTTCACTGTTGATTCAATAACAGCAAGATAACTTATTCTTTAGGTTTATTTTGCTAAGCCCTTTGAAATTTCTTAGAGTTCTGTAATTTATATAATATTGAGATATTTAGGAATGGGATATGATGGTAGTCAACTTTAAAATGTATTTTTTGTTCTATGATGTCACAGAAAAACTAATAATGAACGAAGGCTACTAAATTAAATTCTAAATACCACCTCAAATCTCTCAAAGTTTAGAGAATTAAATTAGAAATTTAGGAGCTGCAACTTCAGTTACTTTAAAGAGCTTGTTAGGATCAAACTTCATAATAAATATCCTAATGTAATTTATTAGTTTCTTAAGTGTAATAGGTCACAAAGTATTTAGATGCTTTGGGGAATGATAAATAGCTTTTAACTAATTACTCACCTACCATTGATGAGTGTGAATACTCCTGCTAATGTTGCTCTTTTCTATAGCTTTATTTTAGACATTGCTACTTTTTAATTTTTTGATGTAGAAAAAATAAACGAATTTGTATTTGATTATGGATATAACAAGGTAGATGATACAGCATTTAACCCTTACTTTGAAAGGATGGGCTATACATCTACAAATCTTATAAGAAATATAGGACTTATATTTTATATCTACTGGCTGTTGATGATCTTAATTTGTCTTGCAAGCCTATCAAAAATGATGAAAATAGCAATAAAAAAGTAAGATATTAGTTGATTTAATATTTGTTTTCTTAAGCTGAAATCTTAAAAAGATAATTCAAAAATTTCATAAATTTGTGTATTACAACTCTATCTTAAGATTTATGCTAGAATCATTTATAGAACTTATCATATGCTCAAGTATTAATAATTATCAAGTAATCTTTTACCATTTTCCTAATACTTATAGTAAACTTAAAGCTTCGTGGATATAACTGCATATATTTTGTCAATTAAATTTCTTGGGGTATGCCTGATTTTTCCTATTATATCTTTTCTATTAACTCATGTGATTTACAAATCTCAACAGAATGTGCTAGAATCTAATTTCCGTCCAATCATAGTAAACATACGAGAACATAGATATATCTTTACCACTATATACATAGCTAGAAGATTAATATATTCTCTAGTGCTTG